TACGTAGACGCTAGTTACACCAAGGTTGAAGATTTCCAAGTTAGGAACCTTTTGTTTTCGAACTATAAAAGATAAATAAAAATAGTATGAATAATTTAATTAAGTAAAAAAAGAATGAATAATTTGATTAAATAAAAAAAATGAATGAATTTATTATTAGAGATAGTATAACTTACTTGGCGAATTAATTCCATCAGCACCAATTAATAAAGTACCAAATTCTCTAGTTCCATCATCAAACAGAGCCCCAAACACCATCATCACTTTCTTCATATCCAACACATTTTTTGCCCCATTGGATATCAACACCTTCCAATAAAACATCGCGTAATTTGTTACGATATGTAATTATACCAGCAAAATCATGTTTAAGAGACTTTAATTCATAAATACTCTCATATTTTTGTTGTTGTATACAAATTAATTGTCTTCCAACATGATCAATAATTGATATAGTATGATGTTCTTCAGGAGCTGGATCAGGCATGGCTTCATGAAAGCGAGCTTGAACTTCAGGCGGACTGCAATAGAATAAAGAAGTAACACCTTTTCTATTAATGTAAATGTTGTATCCTTGCCATCGGTCTATTTATGTAAAATGAGAAAGGAAATTATAGTAAGTAAACTCGCATTTTTTTCGAGTAATAATTTTAACTGACATTGAGTAAAACGAACCTCGAGGACCAGTCTCACGATCGAATATCTTTACATTAAATTTCTGACCAAGGTGCTTTCGAATTGACTGATAAACACAAAGTCCACCTATACCAGCCCCCACAATTAAAATTGTTTGTTTATTCATATTGGTTTCCATTTTTTTTAAATTATGAATTCAAAATAAAATTTTAATTGCGTTGTTTTTTTTTTGTTTGTCAAGTTTCCAGCTGGGCAGTTTATATAATTTCCACTTAATTATTATTAAAATTTTTGCGAAGTGAGACTCCGTCTTTTTTTTCCATATTTGTACAGAAAACAAATACGTACGTACGTACGTACGTATGCGATTACTCATATTAATCCCAAGACATACCCGGTATTAGTGAAAATTTCTTAATCTAGAACTCAATATAGCATCTGGACCGACATCGGTACCAAGACTTGGAGTTTGAATGACGTTGTTATTTGCTCAAAGAACCACAATGACTCATAATTTATCATTTATCATTTCTAAAGTTTTGCATAAATTAGCCTTCCAATCTAAAAACCTAAATGACTCATTTTGGCTACATCGACATCTTATGACAATTAACTTATTTATTCATTTTAGCAATGGAAATTGATAAATCACCGAAATTTAGCATGTTAGCGTTAGTGTTAGACAACATTTAGTACCCTAGCCATGGCGAAAAATGTACGGGTCACGTGATAATCGAAAAATTCTTTATGATCGGATTAACGTTTATATTAGGGTTAGATTTTAATGAGATATATGCAATTTTTGAAAAAGCGAACGTTGTTACGTTACACAAAATCCGAATTCGTTATTGGATAATTTGCCCGCAGATCGTCACATGACCCGTACATTTTTCGCCATGGCTAGGGTACTTGACAGCAGCAATTCTTGAATGTGTGCCAGGTTGGTGGCGCATAAGCCACAAGTGACCGATTGTCACGTGTTAAATTCTAAAATTCGAAGCGAATTTACGATAATTACTTGACAAATTATAACGATAACGATAACGACAAATGTTGAAATTTTAAAAAGCATTAAATTTATTTATTATTGAAAAATTATTCAAACAATAAATTGCGAAAGCAGAAAAATAAATGTTTTAAATAAATCAATTTAATTGATTGTTTAGAATGTTTTTGCCCAGATTATGTTCTTTTTTACTGAGCTTTCTTTTCTTTCGACTTGGAATAACCTGGGGGTCAATGTTTTCTTTACTTTTATTTGCTTTGTTATGTAACCTTCGTCTGGTGCCACCAGAACCTTCAGAACGCCGTTTTGTAGATTCAACTTGAACGCGAATCATGGCACCACTTTTAATACGGGTTGAATCCGTATAATTATTGTTGTAAAGAAAGGAAGTTAGACGGGCAAATGAAAGTGCTTTTGATGCACGATATTGTTTGGAAAATTTATCCAATGCTGCACGGAACTGTGGACCACCATTTTGATAATCGTTACTGATTTCTTCCAGAAAAGTATCAAGCATAGTATCGTCGTTGATTTCTTCACTTATAGTATCGTTGATT